GTGGACGGTCATCTCTGGCGACACCGCAGATCTACTCCTTTCGACCAGCTTATTCTCGAAATCAGATACTATCGATATATATATATTTGGACAAACGAGATTGGATAATGGCATAATGCCAAGAAACGATTTTTGTTCCCAGAAGATTAAAAAGAAGAGATTCTTACGTTACATCGTCACTGTATCATATTGATAAAAAATCAATTTCTCCGGCGCACAAGTTGCTTTCCCATTATGAAAGATTCGCCTACGGATCTATACTTCCAATGTGCAAAAAGCATGAAAATCGCCTCACTTAGGTCAATACAAAAGGAAGAACAAGCTACAAACACCATTCATGCGATTTGCACATTGGTAACTATAGATCTGTCCGAAAACCAATAAAAATTGAAGGAATTGAGACGACCGGTACAGGTATCGGAAACACTGGTTGGGAGAACATGTATTTAGTATGAAAACGTTTTATGCTTTCGGCCCGACAGCTTTGAAAGCATTGAATATTTTTTAGAATATGTCATAAAGATGACAACTCGTACGCTGATGATGGAGCAACCCGCAAGGTGCCACATCAACCGGAAGGAGTATTTTGTTTAGAGTCAAGATGTCTTCGAATTTATATACTACTATTTTTTTGTCTTAATTGTAGTACTAGTATAATTGTACTTTTCGGTATAATAGTCAAGATTCTTCGATAATGACTTTGTCGAGATTTATTGTGTTTTCCAAGGCCATACATAGTAAATCGGAATAAAGTGAGAACTAGTCAAAAACAACTCTTCCTCTCCAAAAGCACGTGTAAATGCAGCTTTCCCAATGACGGGACAATTCAAACCCAGAAAAGAAGCCAACGGAAAGGAGACACATCATGCTGACAAGCCTGGGTGAAAACGGTGAGACCATACAAATAGAAATGTAGTGTTATTAACGAAGCATTTATTACATACTTTTTCAAAGGTGCCCCGTAAACACTGCGGTATCTAATCTTAACGATATTTGATACATGTGCGAGCGTACGATATATGATACATGTGCACTCTGGTTGTAGTTATAAGTGAGAAATAATGCATTTGTGTTCGTCCAATATCTTTGATTTCATTCTTCTAATAGACAACAACTTATTGATCTGGAAGATCTCTGCAAAGGAGTTACATAGGCTTATAAATGTGCTTATGGTCTCGTCGTATCGCAGAACTTTGACTTGATCAAGTAACCATGAAAAAGTAAGCATCATACCATCCGGCAACAGATCATGTGTATCTTCTGTAATCTACACTAAAGAACAAGAACAACTAAATCACACCCCTGAAACTGCTTTCGCATCAAATCAAACCAATATTGAAATAGCAAAGATACTAATAACTGACTTGACACTCGGCCAAATTACTTAGTCAACCTTGGCATGTTCCCCGTCTACACAAACACAGTGCCTTGAATGTACTCTTATATAGTGAGTAGTTAACATTTGTTGCTTCAGGGGGGGAACAAAGTTAACTATTCACTGTAGTTACCAGATTCTATAGTTACCAATGGGCAAACTGCTGTAGGGATGGGCATCTGTGGATTGGGTTCAATACAGAATAACGGCATTATGCAAATAAATAAGAAAAAAATCACTAGAAACTAGGGTTCGTCAGATCAACCAGAGAAAGCAGGAAAAGACATTTGGAGGGAGAGGAAGCGACTGAGGGTTTTTCTTTTAAAGAACGGATGCAAGTCTGGTATAAATTAGGGTTTTTCTTACTGACTGACTCGGGACATGACTGAACAGGCAAATTATTTGCTTGTTATTTGCAGCTTTTCAAATTATGTGTAAATTTTTCCAATTCTTGGGCGTTCTGTTAACAAGGTAAATAGTAACCAGGTAAGTATTTACAGTGTTAAGATTTACTTTCTTTGTCAAGATTTATTTGTGTTTTCGAAGGCAATGAATAGTAACTAAACTTTAGTAGTCAATAACGCCCATAAAGCGATAAGACGACTCTTCCTCGCCAAATGCACGCGTAAATGCAGCTTTCCCCAAGACGAGACAACTCAAAGCAGAAAAACAAGCCAACCGAAAGGAGACACATCAGATACACAAGTAATGTAATTAACGAAGCATTTACTACAAACTTTTTAAAAGTGCCAACTCCAGATTTCATCTTCCAATTTTATTTAACTTCTGGAGTAAATTTTATTTGTGTTTTCCAAGGCCATGCATAGTAAGTTAGTATATTTCCAATGGGCAAAATGCATGAAAATCGCTGCACTTATTTCAATACAATAAGATGGACAAGCTACATGCCCGGTAGCCCGGTCTCGTCCTACAGTTTTACGCATTAGACCATCTCCAATGTATTTCCCTATTTTTAGCTCTATCTCTATAATAGAGGTAAGTTTTCTCTATTTCTACTCCAATGTGTTCCTCTATTTTTTTTCTCTAAAAGGTTTAACTCTATTTATAGAGGAAAAAATAGAGATTCTCTATTCTCACCTCTATATATAGAGAAAAAAATAGAGATCTCTATTTTAGAGGTGAGAATAGAGGTGGGTTGGAGCAAATTTGCCTCTAAAATAGAGTTTACACCTTAGATCTTAAATATATACTACTGTTTTTATCCATGTCAATCTGCGAGTGGTATCTTATTATTTTAAGGCTCCGTTATCTTAGATTTGTTGTATAGATTTTTAGCTGAAGTAACATATATTAGGTTGGCTACTTTAACTATAAGACTAATACATGCGGATTGAAGGCTTTGTGGTGCAGATGCGAGATGATATCAAATGTACTTGTTCATTGTATATGATCAGTGGGATCCCGTGTAGCCACATTGTCTCTTGTCTAAGATCAAGACCCTAAGAAGTTGATATCTTCATGGTTCACTAGAGAAAAGTTGAAGACATGCTATGCTGATGGTCTTTGTGGTGTGAATGGAATGAATTTATGTGAGGTGACTACAAATGTTAGAGTCAAACCGCCTTTTTAGACCAAAAAGTCTAAAAGAGGAACCAAAATAATATAATACTATTTCTAACTTTCATATTCGTTGATTGTTGTGTCTCTGATATTGTTGTTACCTTTTTATGTAGCCTTGTGGCATATGTGGACAGGAAGGGCACAACAAGCTGAAATGCAAGAATGCACCAATACAAGACCAACACACATCGAAGACCAACATGTAAACATAACTCACACAAACATCAAAAATACAAATCATATTACAGACAACACACATTGAACATCTTTTCAAAGACAATGAAAATTAAAATATCTTCATCCGCATACTACTAAAGAGAAAGAGTCTTCTAAACAAAGTGTAATAATCTACATAAACAAGTAGATTATTATTTCTATCAAAACAAAAACCGCAACAAACACATTCTTCAATTCCAAAGATAAGCCGTCGCTTTTCTTTGCAATCATCGCCCTAAGCCTAGCAAACTCCATCTTATTTTCATCGTGGAGATCATAAATGTGAAGAATCTTGCCGCTAGCCTGTCTAGTAATTTGTTGAGTTATTAAATATATGCAATGTGATGGTAGTTATTAGCCTGGGTAGATAGTAGGTTGGTGATGCTGATGCTGTTTTAGTGCTTGGCGTTGTTCTTGGTTCTCTGCAATCATCTTGATGTTGGTTGTGTGTCTCCTTCAATCATTATTTTCTGTCTCTCTGGTGCTGGAAGTGATCTCTGTCCTCTTACTCCACATTAAATACTGAAACACCAAAAAAATCCTAGCTTTTCTCCCTTTTTTGGGCAGAGAAGAAGATTATGATCGATAATGAGCAATGTAACGGATCGATTATGCAAAAAATTGGCAGCAATGGGGCCAAGAAAATAGAATGTTTGGTCCATGAAGATGGAGAAACGCATAGATGCAATGAGAAACTGTGCAGTGAAGTTAAGAAAGAAGAAGAAATTGATGAAAGATTGAAATAGAGAAAGCTTGCAATAAAGGAGATGGAATTGAAGCTCGAGGCACGTATTATTGAGATGGAGAAGACTTTGGCCATGATTAGAAAACGAAAAACCAGAGGAAATATGACTGAGAATGGAGTTTTTTCGGTTTAGGTTCATCTCATGGAAACAAAACAACAATGTCACACATATCAATCTTGGTGTGACTCTCTTTTGGTATTTTATCACACAAATATTTATGGTGTTAGTACTTAGAAAGTTATTTGCCATTGATTCGATTAAGTTCCGGTTATAAGTCTTGATTTGATTTGAGATTATATAGACCGGTCGGTTTACAAAAAACTTATCACTTTCTGTTTGGTCAATTATTTTCATTTTGGCAAATGCTTATCATGCTATAGAAAGAAAATAAAAAAAAATTCTCGGAATGACCTTAAGTTTTTGCATCTTCTGATTTTTTTTGGTCAATCATTATCTACTAGTGCCTTTTTTTGCACATCTATATTTAATATTTTATGAAAATAATGTATTTTTAATATTGTATGAATTGCAATAATTATTAAGTTTTATGAATTATAAAAATTTTAAACATTTTTATCCATAAGAACCCCAGCGAAACTACCATTGGAATATGAAAAATTAAAAACAAAACACACAAGTCTCATCTAACAATTTCAAAAACTTTATATTAAAAACAACTGGTGAGAGCCCATGGGGGACTCTCACCAAAAAGATATCCCAGACCGCACATAAAGCTTTGCGATACACTATGGAAAAGGATATTCCAGACGAAAATAACAAAGAAAAACAAAAATCAATTTGATTTCCCTTTCGGCCTCCACGTCATCTCTGCATATAGACTCCATCAAACTCTCTAGTTTCCCTTTCGCAAAGAGCAGGCTTTGCGGTAAACATTTTCAAGAAATCTCATTAGTTATCATGCGATTTTGTCCGTAAGTTTCCGTCGGAGTTGATAACTCTAGCTTCTACAACACGATCTACAAGGTTTGTGTCTACCAGGTTTGGATCTCGAATCTCTCCAATCGTACTGTTTGCGATACTTCGTTTGATACGTATAAAGAAGCAATCTATAATTCACCATGGAGTTTCCTCTAGTGATGTTTTCCGAGGAAAATATGCCAGATCCACAGACTAAAATAAACTACATCTCAACTTTCAATGTCCTACCGATTGTGGAAACCGCAGTAGGCCCGGATGCTTGGTTTCGTGTTCTCGATTCTCCACTTGGAGTTGTTGTAAGATTTAAACAGTTGAATTTCCAGTGGAGTGCTAAACTCGTGCATCATCATCTGCTTAGCAACCAACTGGTATGCGAAAACGAGCATGAGTTGTGGTTTTTAATCAGAGGACAGCCAGGGCAGTTTTCGCTTTTCGAGTTTGAAGATATCACAGCTCTGAACTGCTACGAACCTCCGTCGGGGATTAATTTTGAACAATTTGAGGAGCATATTCACTTCCATAGTCTTTTGAAGCTTCGTGTAAAATGCCTGAGCCCAAGCATTGAGGACATAAAAAAGTTGTGTCAGAATTCTGCTGCAGAGATAAGTAAGTGGTCTGTGGACGATAGGGTTAGGCTATGTTATTTAGCCATTCTGTCTAACGGTCTCTTGGGTATTGATCGGCGTACGGGTATCCTAATTGATCACTACAGATTGGTAATGAATTTGGATAGTTTCGAAAGGTATCCCTGGGGAAGGATTGCATGCAAAGATCTTATATCGAAAGTAAAGCAAGCAACTAATTTCAAGATCTACCAAGGCTCCTATGCTATCAATGGGTTTGTGCAAGTTTTGCAGATATGGGCTTATGTTTACATTCCCTCAGTGGGAAGATCTCTAGGTTATCCTCTGCCGAATGCCACAGATCGACCAAAGCTGCTAAGATTCCAGGGTAAAGTTCGCCGGCTACCGACCGCGAACGTCTTCCAGAGTGAATCGGTATGCGATCATTATCTTTGACAGAGTTCAATTCGTTTCCCGCATTATCTGGCTGATTATAATATATCGCTGCGTGGAGATTATTATATTTTCGCCGTATAATTTGACACTGCCAAAAGGTTTTGTCCTTTGGCAGACTTTATTCGGAATTTGCTGTATAACTACGTTTAAGCAAAAATCTGTGTGTTTGCAGTTGATTGTAACTAGTATGTGTGAGAGATCCCGGAGAGAAAAGTATCCTAAAGGGCTGAATAACGAGGACAAAAAGGATCTGAAGGTTGATAATCTTATCAATTACCTTATATTTGATGCTCCCCTGGCTGACATAAAATGGACCTTCCCTGCAAAGAAAGAAGAGGTAAGAGAAATTAAGAAGAAAAAGGGACAAGCTGGAAGAAAGAGGAAGGTAAAAAATGTAAGAGGAGACTTTGGAGACTTTGGAGAAGAAGAAGAAGAAGAAGAAGACTTTGGAGACTTTGGAGAACTATACCGAACTAAACGGATGACCAACAAACAATTGGCAGTGACGACGCCTAAAAGTTCAGATAATACTAAACTGGTCGAAATGATGCTAGGAATCTCTACTAAACAGAACGAAATGTGTGAGTCGATGTTTAGACGAATGGATGAAGCCGCCGAGAGGCAGCGAGAAGCCATGAACCGGCAGCAGGAGACCTTCATGAGACAGCAAGAATCAATCATGATGCAGCAAAAACAAAACTTAGACCAGCAACAGCAAATGAGTAAAGTCTTGAACGAGTTTTCAAATCTCTGCACCGCATTAGCAGGTGGGTCTATTCCTGCACCCTACTAAGTATTCATTAGTTTTTTTTACTCAAGAGTATTTTTTCCATTTGTTTATCATGGTTTGCATGCAAAGCTTCGAATCCTCTTGGAAAGCTCAACAACCTCCTTCCTTAAAATTGTAACCTCTTCTTTGATACCGTTATCCTCTTGGAATGGCTATTCTACACACCGATACCGTGAATCTAAAATCACCTTAACATATTGTATTTAAAGTATCTCTTTTTCCACATGGACATCTTGTAGTAATGTCATAGTGACCATCGTCGGCTAGAGCATCTTAGCGGTCCTTTAGCATCTTGGCCCTTTTCCTCAAGGGCGCCGTTTTTTATCCGCATGTGCGCCGCCAGTTTACACATAGTTATAAACAAGAGAGTAGTTATACCCAAGTTCCACATAGTTCTATTTTTGTTGTATTCCAGTAAGATTAGTATTACGTATTCCTACAATTTATATTTCTAGTTGTACGATTGATTAAAGTCGCTAACAATGTAATTCGGAATGTTTTACGTATTCATATGTTTTAAACGTAGATTGTTGTAACATTTTCGTCTTAATTTGGTTAATACTAACAACGTGAGCTTTTAAGTATATGAATGTATTGTGTAGATTCGCATTTTATTGTGTTTGCATGAGGATGAACTTTCACCATTTGTTATTTTACAAATCTAGCCATTGCAATGTTTACAAACCTAATGTATTGTTGTTATTAAACTTAATAAGAAAGAACATTATTAAACCTAGCTATTTGTATTGTTTTGAAACCTATTGTATTGTTATGGCGGAGATGGACGCATAAAACACTTCAGAATTAAACTAGCCACTTAATTCAATTTTACAACTAGGAAGTTAAGTAATCACTAGAGTTCATTTGTATGTTTAGATATTATTTCTAGTATGAAACGCTGAAATTTTGTGTCGGCAGAACATCTGCGCATATGACATTACATATCGCTCTCCAAAAAGCCGAGATACAACAAAGGTATAAATCAAATATATTGAACTCTGCTACCTCTGTCCGCGATCAAATTTCTTTAGCCTTGACATTACTCTGCTACTTTTTATTTCATGTATTTCTATAATAGTCTATAGTTATTAGCTTATTTTTAAAGGTGGCTCTGTTAATCCAACACATTTAACGAGCACAGAAATCACACATCAAAAAAACTGATTCAGGGCACTAAGAGTTACAAGTGTTTAGCAATGCTGCCGATCACACGGTCTTGAGATCTTTTCTCCATCTAATCCCAACCGTAGTAACGACTAGATAATAAAGTATATGACCATTCTCTTATGTGCAAATCATCTGCACCATCTTCTTGTAGTGAAATGGCTTCAACATGTACAGCTTCCGACTTGAAGTTGCGGATGCTCAGATTTTTTACGCCGAGAATATCCTTGAGAGAACCGAAGTTTGGCTCATGTAGGATTTCTTGAAGATCTCCATACGGTCTGAACTGTCTCAAGTGTCTCACCTTTCTTTCTGCCACGTTGTAGAAAAGAAGACTCGAGTCATGGCAAATTAACACCAGCTCACCATTCTCCATCAAACATATGGGCTTGAAACAGGTAGGGGCATCGCGAAATAGCTTGATCCAAAATAGTCGTTTCCACGACCCGTGCTCACCCCATTTTGGGATCACCCAAATCTCTAATTCCCTAGACTCAACTACACGAGAGGCATAGATACACCCCCTCAACACTCCAACATCAACATTTTTGTTCAAATGAAAACATGAAGGTAGCTGGAATGAGCCAAAAGTTTTGTGTTCAACGTCAAACTTTAGTATATATCTCGTTTTGTTCGACCTCCTACAGAGCCAATATATTACACCATTCAAAAACATCGGACATCCATCACATATTTCCATTTTGGGAACAAATCCGATTGTTTTCCAAGATGTATCACCCATCCTATATATTTCAGCAAAAAGTAGCGCTTCTATTGAAAGTTCCAATACAATCCTCAAAAGTTTTACCGCTTACTCTCGAGACTGCAACCAAAACCAGACACAATTGGGAATCCACTTACGGCCACCTCCTCCAAAGGATTTGGTTTTGGAATCAATACGACCTCGCGAGTAACCGGGTTGCATATAGCATACTGACTTGATATTACGGACGGGCTGCAGAGATACTGGCTTGATATTTTCTTAGTTTCAGGTTTTTGCAAGCAAATAAACCCATAACACGAATTGACAATAGCATAACCATCTGAAAAAATTTCATCACTATCTTCAATTGACTGAGGAAGAGATCCACTAGTAAAACAAATACGTATAGCCACTTCAATATTCATGGCTGCAGCTGAAAATTCGTGGCTGTAAGTCGATATAGCCACGACTAGTGACTAAAAATAATCGTGGCTATAGCTTCGTAGCTTTTTTTTTCGTGGCTTTTCATGGCTGCATAGCCACGAATTAGTCACTCATATTTCGTGGCTATAATTAGCCACGAATTAATTACTCACTTTTCCGTGGCAAACTATAGCTACGAATATGTCACTATGATTTCGTGACAAATTTAGCCACGGAATATGCGTAGCAAAGTTCGTGACAAAATTAAGTAAGCCATGATTCAATAAGTGGCATGATCGTTGGTTTAAGCCACGATTTGTGTATAAATTGCATAATCGTGCCAATGAATTTTAGTTGTAGTATTCGTGGCTAATCATGTATAATTTTCTTCAAAAAAAAACAATGCTATAAATAAACCTGAAATGAAAAGCTTAAAATCCAAATAACATTAAATCCTAATAAGAAGATTAGATTACATAATTATAGTTGTCTTGTAAGTTACAATACCAAAAGGCAACAAGGGTGCTAATTTTAGTCATACAAAAGACCCCATTCATACAAGAGAAACATAAAAAACAGAAACTTATAAACCTGCTGAAGCACACCAAGCATCTAAGTTGCCTTGTTGTGTTCTTGTAGGAGGGTCTATCGGAGTAGCAGCAGGAGACGCAGCAGCAGACGTAGCAGCAGACGCAGCAGCAGGAGACACAGCAGGAGACGCAGCAGCAGGAGGACCGTCACGACCAGCAGCAGGAGGACCATCACGACCAACAGTGGAGCCAGCAAAACGGAGACCAGCAGCAGCAGCAGCACGAGCTATAACGTCACTTGGAGCAAGTTGAATTCCCAGAGACTGCATAATCGCATTCAGCGCAAGTCGGGTTGTAGCCAGCTCGTCCATTACCGTGCCCATGCCAGACTTCAGCTCCACCATGTTTTCCTTGAGTGCCTCATTGGTTTCCTTGAGTGCTTCATTGTTTTTTTTCCAAACCATAGATGCGCATCTCATTGTCAAGGTTGCGAGACATAGCAACAGCCACTTTCTCGGATGGATTGATTTCCCGGTATTGTACACTGCCTAATCCGTAGATATACCCTCTTTTAGACTTACCACGCTGTGAAAGAAAGAAACAAATAAGAATCAAGCATCATTCAAAACTAAACACAATTTCAGATGGATAAACAAAACTGAACCAGTCAAACAAATGAGAATTTCAGATGGATAAAATAAAGAGAACCAATTCAAAATCAAACAAATGAACCTAAACAAAACTGAACCAACTCAGAATCAAACAAATGAGAATAAACCAAACTGAACAAAAACATAAGTCATTTAACCAATATCACATGAGGCAGTTATAATATATTTTGGTGAGTACCTTGAGATATTCTTTGTTCAGCACAAGTCGAAAAGGAAGACCACCAGATGAGGCCGTCTGGTCATCAAGAGAATCATCCTCTTCCATAACCTGTTTCGCCGCTTCTTCTACTTCGAGTACAAGAGACTCCGAACGAGCGTCCATGAAAGTACCATCTTTACGCGTGTGAGTCCTCCTCACAAGGTCTGTGAAGGGAGGTGGTTCATCCAAACCAGACTCAACCATCTACAAAAACAAAGAGGAATGTTAGTCCAAACCTGAGAAAGTATACAATAATAACAAAGGAAAAGTAGAAGAGAAACACTTGCCATTTGATACTCAATCCGTGCAAATGCTCGAGGGCCTGCACAATGCTTGTGAATTCCTTTATTAAGAGGATCAGATATGCGGCACCCAACAGCTGACTTGCTCTTCTTTTGAGCTGGTTCTGTATCCCAATACTCCATCAGAAAGTCCCAATCAGTTTCGCCAATGTACTTGGGTTTCTTGTTCTTCCCCTTCTTCTTGCTGATGAGGTCACCAATTGATGTCATTGTCTCCTTCTTCCAAAGAAAGTAGAATATGTCATGAAAACGAGCTTCCCAGTAGTAGTGTTGCTGAAAAAGAATCAAATATTACCACAAATGTGTGCCACCAAGTTTCTTGCCTATCCTCAGGAACATCTGACCAGTTCTTCCACGGTCCCATGAAATTGCTTTGCCATGTTGTGCGAACGAATTTGTAGACAGAGGGGTCAATACCAAACTTGAGAAAAGAGAACAAAACATTAGATTTGAAGACAACCGTGAAGAAACTTATTCAAACCAAACAAACATTAGGCGGTTATTTTAAACTAACCATAAAGCTCCATTAAGCTTCCTTGGGTGCAGGTGTGGCTGGGATTCTCTTTCAGGAGCACTCAGCAATGCATCAAGAGTTCTTTGGTTGTAGTTGTTTGCATGTGAAGACGCAGCGCTTGGAGATCGTGTGGCTCCTTGTGGTACAGTTCCATTTGGTAAAGCTCCAGGAGGTACCCTTCGATGGTTAAGCTCTTGCAAAAAATTCAGAAACAAGTACAAATCAGAAACAAGTACAAATCATAAACAAAAAACAAACATATCACACATTGAGTAAATTAGAACACACACAGAGAAAACAACTTCTTACAAACAAATAAGCAACCAAAGATTACCTGTACTTCATGTTTCTCTCTCTCTCCTTATTTCTGAAAAAATATAAAGCTAAAATACCTAAATCTAAAGCTCATGGGACACCGGTACATAACAGAAACACCAATTTTGGCTTAGCGCATGCGTAATTCGGAAATCTGAAGCTAATAACAGAAACAAAATATCTTTAACCCTAGCTAGACAAAGAGTGAAATTGAACAAAGAGAGAAATCGAGAAAAGGCATACTAATTGAACCCTAGACAGTCCTAAACTTCCACAATAACCTCAGATCTAACAACAAATCAAGAAGGAGAAGAAGAGACGAAGGCTACGCACCTGCCGGACCCGAACCGGAGTTTCGTGGACGCTGGCGGTCTTGCTGTCGGCTGGAAGAAGCCATGGCAGTTCAATGATGAAGAGAGGAAGACGACGAAGAGATGAAGTGATGAGGCTAGGGTTTCAGATTTTTCTAAGTGTAGAGACGAAGAGATGAAGAAGTGAATGTGTGTGTGGTTTGTCTCGAGAGATAAGTTTGAGTGTTGGAATATATAGGGCTTAAAAAACATTTTGGCCCAAATTTTTGGTGTGTTAACGTGGGAAAACGAAATATTGGGTTTGGGTTTTGGTGGGAAATCAAAAATTTGGCTAAGTTTTTTGGGTGGGAAATTTAGATTTCCAAATAATAAAAATCTTGTTTGTCTAGATAATTTAAAATAAAATTTAAATTACTCTCTAAATGATATAATTAAACGGTTTATGTATAATAATTTTTATATATTATGTTGATTTAAAAAAAAAATATTACTAAACAAAATTATTTAAATCACACAAAGATTATTCATTTCATGATATATTACAATGTTAAAATACATAATTTTAAAAACATACATATTAAAAAAAAAAACTTACTCGGAATCGGAATCAGAATCCGAATCGTCACAAGAGTCTTCCAATTCTTCTTCAGAAATGTATTCGTCATTAGGAGGAGCCACATGTAAAATATCATAATCGGCATCATCTTCCACAACATGTGATTCAATTCGAACAATCGTACTCGGTGCGACAAAGTGATTGTGTGTATCGTCTTGAAGAGCAATTAGAGCATCTTCCGCTGTCTCACGAACACCGCGGGGCATAACTTTTGTACAAGCCCACCAGTCATTTGCAACGGTGTGTCGGACGCGTGGATAAGGAATGAAACATACTTGATCACAATAACCAGATAATATAAAAGGATCATATTTCTCGTAGTGTCAGCGCGGTGCCACATCGATGATACCGGATGGATGTTTCCTTATTCCACGACCTATGGTTGTGTCAAACCACCTGCATTTGAAAATCATGATCTTCAATCCAACAGCACCATGGTACTGGATCATCATTATCTCTTCTATCAAGCCATAATAATCTGTGTCAGTGGTTCCACGAACATAGACACCGTAATTTTGAGTTTTCTTATCTTCTCCATGGTTATGCGTGTGGAAACAATATCCGCGTGAATGGTATATAGGCCAGGATGTATAATTACGGTTAGGACCTTGGACGAAATCCAACATCCACAATGGAAATTGATAAGATTCTGTAGCGTCGTTAATCTGAAATTAAAACCACATTATAAATAGTAATTATAAAGTACAATTCATATATATAGTATTAATTAACAATATTCATTTCCTAATATTATACTTACATAGTCTTTACACCGTTCTGCAAAGTGTTCGTCTTTCGCTTTTTCCATTTCTTTACTTGTAATTATTGGGATTTGCTCCGTCATATACTCCTCGAACATTCTGTAAAAGTAGTTAGGAATTAAAAATAATATATATACGATTGTTCGAAGGTGTCACAGTTAAGCAGCAAAAAAGTTTGGAGCACTGTGTAGTCTTGATCATTAAACCATCCATTTGTGGCTTTTCCACTAACACGGCCTTCATGGTAGAACAAGCTCGGCACATCTGGATAAAAGTATGTGAATCGAATCTCTCCAGGAACTGGAACAACATCATCTCTAAGTTTTGGATGTCCAAAATAATTTGCAGAAGCATTTGATATCTCCTCATTCACGCATTGTGCAACAATCGAACCCGCTATGTGTGCCTTGTTCTTAACTTTCCTCTTTAAATGGTACATGTATCTCTCGAACGGATACATCCACCGATATTGCACTGGACCTCCTAAAGCAGCTTCATCTGGTAGATGAACGGGAAGATGTTCCACAACGTCAAAGAACGATGGAGGAAATATCTTTTCCAAATTGCAAAGTTTAACGGCAATATTTGCTTTCAACAAAGCAACATCATCTTTACGTAAAATCTTCGCTGAGATATCCCGAAAGAAGATTGAAATATCTACACATATACATAATTAATTTAATTTATTGATATAAATATAAAAATATATACAAAGTAAATAAGCTATAAAATTACCTGAAATGGCCGTGTGAATATTTTTTGGAAGAAGTTCTGCAAACGCAAACGGGAGTAGTCGTTGCATGATGACGGGGCAATCATGACTTTTCAGTCCAGATAACTTCCAATGGTTTTCGTCAACACAACGACTAAACTTTGACGCATATCCATCTGGAAACCGTATATCATTTTTCATCCATAGGAGAAATGCTCTTTTTTTTTCATTCGACAATCTAAATATTGGCACCGGCATTGTTCCATCTCGGTTAAGATGTAAATCACGTCTTCTACATAACGTCGGAAGATCCATTCTTGATTTAATGTTATCTTTCGTTTTCCCAGGAACATTCAAAACCGTGTTGATGAGATTGTCGAAAAAATTCTTCTCGGTGTGCATGAAGTCAAGGTTATGTCGAAGAAGAAGATTTTCCCAATATGGTAACTCCCATAATATACTCTTTTTCACCCAATTATGATCAATCCCATATCCATCGATAGTTTGAGCAGGCTTCTCGTGGCCGTTCCCTCCACAATCGACAGTTCTAAACAACCCACGAATATTGTTTATTCTTTCGTAAAGAATTTCCTCTCCAGTCAACCACGGTGGAGGATCATCTCTTACTTCCTTCCCTCCACGAAATGCTTGAACATTTTTTCTGTAAGGATGATCTTGAGGTAAAAACATTCTGTGGCAATCAAACCAACTATGCTTCCTTCCATTTGGTAACCAAAATGATTTTGTGTCATCTAGACAATATGGACACGATAAACGGCCATGCGTCATCCAACCAGACAACATGCCATATGCCGCGAAGTCGCTGATTGTCCACATCAAAGCAGCTCGCATCGTGAATTTTTGTTTCTTTGATATGTCATACGCTTCCGCCCCGTCAATCCACAGACTCTGCAATTCTTCGATCAATGGTTGGAGATAAATATCCAGACTTTTTTTGGGATGCTTTGGCCCAGGAACAAGTACCGATAAAAAGAAAAATTCTCTCTTCATGCACATGCCGGGAGGTAAATTATAAGGAGTTACGATCACTGGCCAAACCGAGTGTGCCTCACCATTCATACCAACAGGATTAAATCCATCTGTTGATAAGCCTAGATAAATATTGCGACTTTCAGCAGCAAAATTAGGATATACCTCATTGAAATGTTTCCATGCTGCTCCGTCGGACGGGTGGTGCATTTCTCCTTCGGGAGACATATGTTCAGCGTGCCATCGCATAGCCGTTGCAGTATTCTCTAACTGGTATAGCCGCTTCAGTCGATCTGTAATTGGCATGTAAAACATTTTTTGCTTAGGCCTTTTTTTTTCCTTTTCCATTGTGTGGATGGTATTTATCTTCATCACAAAACCGACACCGCAACAGCTCTCCATCTTCTCCTTTCCAAAAAAGCATGCAATTATTCTCGCAAACATCAATCTTATATACCGGTAGACCAAGCGCTTGTGTCAACTTCTTTGTCTCGTAGTATGATGCAGGAGCTTTATTTGGTGTGGGCAGAACAGCTTTGAAAGTCTGTGATAGCTCATCTACGCATGCCTCCACCATATTGTAATCAGATTTTGCTTTCAACATACGTGAAGATAGGTATAACTGAGAAATTCCTTCTCGACAACCATCGTAAAGAGGTTCCTTAGCGGCTTCAAAAGCTTCGAAAACGCTATCATGATATGGCCTTCGTTTGTTGTTTCCATCATATTCTCTACTACATGTGGAGCCTCCATCTCTTGTTCGATGTTCGCATTTCCATATGGAAAATACTCGTACGTATTTTCTGGAACATGAAAATTTGTAGAATTTGGTGGCCACGTCGCTTCTTCACCGGTAAAATGACTTGTTCCTGATGATTCTCCAACGTCATAATATTTTTCTCCATGGTTTAACCAAACATAGTAATTTCCCTTAAACCCCACTCGAGAAAGATGTTTAATAACCGTTTTTACATCACGCTGCTTTCCGTTTTGACAACGCGCACACGGACACAAAATAGTGTTGGTCTCTTCGTAAGAAGCTTGATTACAAGCAAATTCAATAAAAACATTAACCCCCTCAAAAAACTCATCTGAAACACGATTTGTTAATGGATCAAGACGTTGATCCATCCACTCTCGATATTGAAAATAATATGACATTGGAAAATAGTCACATAAAAAATTTTGAACGCTCAAACGTTTTATTATTATTTTTCTCTCTTCTTCTTTGCTCTGATAACTAATGGAGAAACGCAGTTGGTTATATAGGAAAAATAAGCCACGAATGTGCTACGACGATATTTGTGGCTAAATCTTACCACGAACTGGTCACGACAAACAATCGTGGCAATATTTAGCCACTAATTTGTCACTGACGTCAGTCGTAGCTATATATAGCCACTATACAGTCCGCAACTTGGACAACTTGACTGAGATTGACTGAGGTGACATAAATTTCGGTGGATAAGCCACGAATTTAGCCACATTTTTTTTCGTGGATAAACGTCTTTCAGAATTCGGTGACATAGCCACGATTTAACCACGGTATGCGTTGGTGGCTATAATTTTACCACGAATTAGCCATGTTTATTTATCGTCACTATGTTGCTACGAATTAAGCGTAGCTATAGTGTGGCTTTATTTTCCACGAATCTATACATGACAAATTCGTGGCTGTGTTGCTACGGAAAAACCACGGAAAAACCACGGTTTATTTACCAGTATTGTTCGTGGCTACTTCATGGCTATTTCGTGGCTAAGTTAAATTTAGCCACGAACCGCCGTGGTAAAAACGTAGCTATACATTTTTTTTTTTACTAGTGAGAAGCAATAGCATAACCATCTAAAATTTTTTCATCACTATCTTCAATTGACTGAGGAAGATAAGCAGTATACTATGTAGCTCTTGCTCTAGAACCCCAACTAGAAATTGCATCCAAATCAAGCTTGTGAAGAATCTGATAACCAACCTCATTTTCATTAATATAAGCAAGCCTATATCCCTTAATATAAGCTCGAAGGAAAACTTGAGAATCAGCTTTGCATAATTGTAGATTGAAATCAGTAGAGTTGGTCACAGAGGAGAAGTCCTTGCACACGGGTCTGAGGACACAAGCATCCTTGAAGGAGCGGATCTTGAGAGAATGGTGGCTAGGATATCTGTTGGAAGGTGTAGGATAAGATTTGATGTGCTGTCGGTTTCTGTTCTCATTTTTCTCTTCTTAGCTTTAGGAACTCCTTCCAAACCAGGTTCTCTGAAAGAATCAATCTGCCAGATACAAAGATTAAACTTACATTAGATGTGCAAGATCCAAGTACATTCCTATCTTCACTATTGGATTCAGTGGCGAATCTTCTACCCTTCTAAATTCACTCACTGATAGTTCATTTTTTACAGTCCGAACGTAAGTATAAATGTGAATGATGACATACCGTCTTTGATCCATCACCCAATGCATCAACTAATTTTGGTAATCCAATTGACGCATACGGATAATTCCTATCACCCATCTGAAACAATAAAAGAAATTCTCATCATAATTACATATAAAAGAAATTCTCATTCAAGCAATTCTATCTTCACTATTGGATTCAGTGGCAAATCTTCTAGCCTTTTTGAGTACGGAGAATATGTAAGGGTATCGATATAGCTCCGATACCATGTAAGAAAATATGTTGCTATATATTCAAAGAGAGAGTACAGACTCATATATATATATATATATACATTGAGAAGAGGGAGACTCTAGGTTAAGACATATAAGAAATGTACTATAATCAACGAGAGACATGATACGATTGTATCCTTAACAGAATATACCAGGAGTAACGGCGATGCTGAAGTTTTGTTTCCTCGGAATAGCGAATCGTCGTCTGGTTAATCCGCCGATAGAGAGAGAAAAGAGAGGGTGAGTGAGTAAAGGTAAAGTAGAAATCGAATCGTTGTGAGTGGTTACGGGTAGGGATGTAAATCGTTGATCTCTATGCAATAACCGTTGCATATACTCAAAAGCAGGGCCGGCCCAAACTCGGCCCTGCTTTTACAATGACATTCGATAATGGCATTCGGATATTATGACTTGTGGATTTTTATCTGTAGTTGCCTTTTTAAATGACTATTTTTAATGATACTCTGTTTTGCAATCCAATGAGTACTGACCACACGGCTTACATATTCCGATTCTCTTATCAGCTTTGTGTATTCAAAAAAATGTTACTCCGTATGATATTATGTCCGTCACTTGTGCATTACTAGTATTCATGGACTCTTACAATGACATTGGATAATGGTACAAAATGATTTATGTTTAGCCTTTTTTTTTACTTTTTTTTTAAACAATAATTACTCATTTTTCACTTATACCAAAACGACGTCTGTGGGTTTATTCCTGCACCGCACTAAGTTATTCATTAGTTTTTTTACTCGATTATATGGGAAACCCAAAAAAGATTCGGGTGAATTTCAAATTTTCTGCTCAATTTTGTTCCTCGCGTGCGCCGTTTTTTCCCTCTTGTACGCCGTTTTTTCTCCGCAGGTGCACCGCCAGTTTACACATAGTTATACACAAGAGAGTAGTTATACCCAAGTTCCACATAGTTCTACTTTTGCTGTATTCCAGTAAGATTAGTATTACGTACCCCGAAAATTTATATTTCTAGTTGTACGATTGATTGAAGTCGCTAACAATGTAATTCGGAATGTTTTACGTATTCATATGTTTTAAACGTAGATTGTTGTAACTTTTTCGTCTTAATTTGGTTAATATTAACAACGTGAGTTTTAAAGTATATGAATGTATTGTGTAGTTCGCATGAGGATGAACTACATAGTAAACTCAGAATTAAACGTTTAGCCACTTAATTCAATTTTACAACTAGGAAAGTAAGTAATCACTAGAGTTCATTTGTATGTTTAGATCTTATTTCTAGTATGAAACGCTGCCTTTCTTTGTTTGGTAGAAATTTTGTGTCGGCAGAACATCTGCGCATATGACATTACATATCGCTCTCCAAAAAGCCGAGATACAGCAAAGGTATAAATCAAATATATTGAACTCTGCTACCAGTGTCCGCGATCAAATTGCTTTAGCCTTGACATTTCTCTGCTACTTTTTTATTTCCTGTATTTCTATAATACTCTATAGTTATTAACTTATTATGCGACAAGTCGCCTGAGGCAACGACGGTCCTACCTATTTTTTTTTTGTTACGTTGACTTCTTCTCTATGCAATAACCGTTGCATATACTCAAAAGAAATGACTTCATTATATCACTCGCAGAGCTTATTTGTCCACATCCAGACCATTCGCCGAGTCAAGTAGGACTAACTGGGGCTGGGGACAGCAGGAAAGAGGATCTATGCATCGGTTCAATGCAGCAGAATCCAAACGGTTAATAAGACATTTACTAGAACAAGTAAACAACTATACATTTATTGTTCGTCAACTTATAACAATAGAAGGATAGAAAAGTGATGAGGAGCGGAAGCGCAGAGTGTGCATTTATAGACCGTAAGGGATCCCTAGCGCCAAGATAAAAGAATTTAATCTGCTATGCGCACAATGTGCATATTTAGGGCTTTTATACTTCAACTTATATAAGTTAAAGTTGTGTAAACTCTATCTGAGTTTTTTTAATCCTCTACCACCTTGTGGCTGCAAAAACCTCCTCAATAATGATCTACATTCCAGTACCACTTATGACAGATATAGTCCGTCGTATTGGGAGTGAGGGATTCCGCAACCTAGGTCCTTTCATTGCAGCTGGGCCTTTCTTTAAACAATTTGTCTTTTCCTGTGAAGTCCTAATCGACGTGGATCTTGATGAGTTCATGTTCAACACTAGACTCGGTAGAGAAGAATCTATCTATTGATCCTTCCTTTTAAGATGCGTAGCTGAAGGTCATGAGATAGCAAGATATATCGAATCTCTACGCCGTTTGACTCAAGATGGACCGTCCATGGAAGCACTAGAGATGCTTGGAGAAGTTGCTTATTCTTCCATCTACGCTATATTTGCATTTGCGGTCATGCTCCTTTGTTGTGGTTCCTATGACCAAGGTATGGTCGTAACCCGAACTTTCTTTAGTAAGGTTGAAACTTTGGAAGAAGCGTTAAACATTGCCGGTGTAGTAGAAAGCCAGGTTCGTAATATCGGTCCTGGCGGTCGCAATGTGTTTTCCGGATTTATCCATTTCAAAGAGTATCCAATATGCTTCTTTGCACACAACAACTCGAGTACATGCATTTGTCAGCATTGTTTTCCGTTTAATTACACTACCACTTTCCATGAAATGTGTTAAGAAGACTTATCTATCTTCCATTGTGGTCGTTGTTCTCTGTTTCTGTCTACAAACTCTATCAGGTCTTGTAACACAACTATTACTTGTTTGTTCCTCTGTTGGTATGGTTGCTATCTATATCTAAGATTTTCCCAGAACTAGCTAGATACCAGTCTTGGGCAAACAGTAGGAATGGGCATCTATGCATCGGTTCAAGGCAGCTGAATCCAAACTGTTAATACGACATTAACTAAAACAAGTAAACAACTATACATTTATTGTTCGTCAAATCAATGAAAGAAGGATAGAAAAGTTATGAGGAGCGGAAGGGCACAGTGTGCCTTTTAGAGACCTTAAATATCTGCTATTGGGATCCCTAGCGCCAAGCTAAAAGAATTTAATCTGCTATTGGAAAGTAAATATAGAGAAAGGACCACGCGACGCCGCCTGACGAGCCATCTAGATTGCGCCACGTCCTCATTTCGGAAATGTAAAGTACCTGCCAAAGCAACCATCCCACACCCATAAAGGCGTTATCTCCGTATATTGATGTGGCGTCTTTTGGTTGGCCCCTCTTTTCGGTAATGAATTATAGTACAAGCTTTGGTAAAAGCTGCATTTTCCATTTATTAATGCGTTATATCCCATTTATTAGAAATTATCGCGAAGATAATGTATCCTGAACTATAATGGTGGTCTAAATTTCTAGTTTCGCGTTTGTTTGAGAAACAAAGTAAAACTTATTCTAATGTACAGTGTTGAACAATAACATATATTTACAAGACTGCATTTGTTTTTGGCCATTATTTATACTGTGTGCAGCGGAAGAGCATAGGCCATATAAGGAAAAGCCCAGCTTGTGGATGTAGGATTCACACTCAATTGTCTTTAAGTATTTCAGTGGAGAAAAACTCTTGTAAAATCAACAAATGAAAATGAGAATTTGAAAGGGAAGTTTAACCAAGAAAAGAAAGTAAAGAAATCTGATAAGAACGAAGTACAAAAAGCCTTGCGAGAATAATAAAGAGAGAAAGTATATTGTATTGCTTGGAAGTAGTGTGTAAATAGATTCGCCCCTCAAACACGTGCGTTTGAGGTTGTTTTTATAGAGAAAACATGATTAATGCGGTCATTCACTGTACATAATTATATTGACCCGCATTAATCATGTAAGTTACAATTTTGACCGAAACGGCTCGAATTTGAACTATCTTGGGCTTCACATGGGCTCTCCAAACCCTTTCTTGTTGACTCCGAACTCCCGCGCTTTGATGCTACTACGAGCCTCGAACAATATTCTCCTCGCTTCGGCCTTTCTCTATGCGAACTGTATGTTGAATAAGAGCGAACTCCATGCTGGTAAAGATCGAACTCTTTTAGTGAACTGAATCGAACTCCCAACTGGTCAAGTTCAATAAAATATCTTGAATTCTGAGAGGATTATTATGCAATAATGACGTGGACAGATCCAAGTGGATCCTACCGAGAATGTGTGGGATCCGACCCCAACATTTAGCCCCCAATGTCTTGCGAGCTGAGTGCTCGGCTTGGAAGACTTAAGTAAATAGTAATTAATGAATCGAGATCTTTAACATTCTGGAATTTCTCCATGTTTTACGCTGTTACGCCGATCTCGGATAATAAAATGATTTGATTTCCCTGACAACCGTCATCATTAATTTCTTAATTTTATATTAATACTGCGGGGAAAACTGTCCCGCTTCCCAATATTTTAAAGGCGGTCTTCCATCTTACTTTTGGGTTCTAAGAGGTAACATTACTTTCCCATCTTATCTTCTTTACCTAGAAAACTTTCACTCTTATTACAGAGATTATTGTTCCCTTTCGGTAAAACCATTTTCGTAAAATGTCGAACTTCCCTTCTGAAATTCGCGAGTATGAGGTTGAAGATCTCGAAGCTTTCATGAGTGAAGGAACCGAACCTCATATCCAAACCGGAGACAGGTTTGATCTTCACCTTCAGAGTCAATCGACTGTTGATTCTCTTAACGATCTTCGTCGCTTATGCCACATTCCCCCCGAAGTGGAGATGGTGGTCCCGGAGCCCTATGAGTCTCCGGAATCGGGGCGAGAGGGTTACTGCTGCGCCTATGAAATTTATTTCAAAGGATGCAGCTTGTTCTTTCCTCTTCCCGAGATACTTCTCATTTATCTCAACCATCTGGGAATCGCCTTCTCTCAGATGTCGCCCAACATGCTTCGGTATCTTATGTGTACCTTCACTGTTGCGGCGGAGGCGGGCTACTCGCTGGGACTTAACGAGCTCTTGGAATTCTTCCAGGCTCGTGAATCCCGAACTTCTTGGTATTATGCCCTTTATCCAATTGCAGACCGGAATCTTATTGATGGCCTGCCTTTAAAAGATAACGCTTGGAGGAAGTTTTGGTTCTTCTTCCGTATAGATAGTTTTTCTGTTCAGAGTTCTTCCGAACTCCTCCGATTTTGCTGGTCATCGAATTTGGGTAGAAACTAGGACTTAACTGAATAAGTTTCCCATGTTATTTCGAACTGCGCTAACATTTTCTCGTTTTTCCGCAGGTCCCCAAATTCGGCCAGTTCCTTCTGTTGATTTTTTAAACTTTTACAAGGCCATCCGGGAGAGGCCAGTTAATTGGAATTCTTTTACTTTAGAGAGAATTCACAGTGCCGGACATTGTTGGTGTCGGATCCCGCACCAGTAGACCGGGACCAGCCAAAGATTGCCACGTAATCAGGATGAAGGCCCGCAAAGGATAAGGCCCATTAAACCTACGGTTTACAGGATATAATCGGAGTGGGCATCATCACGAAGGGAGCTCGAAGTGGTCCATTTCGGGGTGTGACCCGGGGTCAAAGTCAGGACGGTTCAAAGTAATTTGGGCCAAAAGGCAAGGCCCATAAAGATCAGAGTCAATTCAAATTCAAACGTTGAGCATTAAACTTGAAGACCAAAACGGACACATTTAAGAGAGAATAATTGTGTTTAATTGAGAGTTAAATGTCGTTTGTTAGTATAAATAATAAGGCCAAAGAACCATGTAAATATATACGCAATTTTTCTAGCAAATACACGATAGTCATTTCCATCGCAATTCATAGCTTTTTCATATCATATTTTTGTCCTCAAGAATAATCTTTCCCACAAAATAAACAAATATTCGAGTGTGTGAATCCGACGTCCACATTTTGGCGCCGTCTGTGGGGATCTAGAAGATTCTTGAGTTGTCAGATTTCTCTCACTACATTTCCGAGATAAGCAGCAATGTCTGGAGCAAGCATCCCTGACTCGTCAGTAGCTGAAACTCTCAAGGCCATGCAGCAAACCATGTCAGAAATGTCGCAGAAGTTCTCGGATGTGGAAAAAGCTGTGGACACACTTAAAACAACCCAGGTATCTCTTGGTCAAAGTGTCAATACTATTCAATCTCGTGTTCGTTCTCTAGGTGCAGGAAATACTGTGGGAGTCCGAAGAAGTATGTTCAGTACGCCAAACTCCCGTGTGCGAAGTGAAACCAACGAACAAACAACTCCTAACCCAACAATTCAACCGGTGGAAGAAGAGGCGCAGCTCGGAGATGAAGACCAACTTGTAGATCAGTATGATCAAGAAAGCTTCGACCAGCTCGAAACCATGAGAAAAGTTAGCCAGGAACTAAGAGAAATGAAATCAAAGTTCCACCAGGCCACTAGTTCGGAGCCGGACATCAACCGAGTCATCGAGGAAGCTAGGCGAACTCCTTTCATCCCGCGAATTGCAAATTTGAGAATCAAGGATTCTCGGAAACTCAAACTGGACCCTTACAGTGGATTAGAAGACCCAAAGAGCTATCTCGCAGCTTTTCTGATTGCCGCTGGAAGAGTCGAATTGGATGAAGCTGACGAGGATGCAGGATACTGCAAACTCTTCTCGGAAAATCTTTGCGGTCAAGCACTAATGTGGTTCACCCAGCTGGAACCAGGCTCAATCAACAACTTCGACGAATTGTCGGCTGTGTTCCTGAAACAATATTCCATCCTCATGGATAAAAGCGTTTCGGATGCTGACCTTTGGAATCTAACACAAGGACCAAATGAGTCACTTAGAACTTTCATCACCAAATTCAAGGGGGTGCTGTCAAAACTCCCAAGAATCTCGCAGCAGTCAGCTTTATCTGCCCTACGAAAAGGTTTGTGGCATGACTCAAGGTTCAAA